TGCGTTTTCCAGCACGACGTTATTTCAGAGGTGAACCAAAATCACTTACTTCATAGCTAACTTTGCTATATCGAATCAATGTACAAGTTCCTTATTGGATTTTTATTGCAGATAAAATTGACAGAGAAAATCACTAGGATATACTTAAAAATGGGAAGGAAATGTACGTTTACAATAAAAAGGTCTCTGAAGGTCTCTTGTTTCATAGGAAGGAAGCTGTCTTTATATTGCATGAACTATAAAAAATGATTAAAACTGAAGAGAGACAGGAAGCTGATAATTTGATTTATCATCTTAATGGCTATGATTCATGAATAAATAATGTAATGGTTTATGTCTCTCTTGTAAAAGAACTAGAGAAGAGCAATTTGTCTAATAAATGACTTCAAAAATTACAGCTGAGTCTTGTTTGCCACATTTGTTCTATTTAAAAAGAATGAGCGAGTATCTTATTTCTTATTACTTACTAGGACATTTGTTGTATTATTTATAAGAGTCAAAAACCTTAACTAAAAGCCACTCATCTCTGACCACAGTCTCCCATTAGCTTTAAATTCAGGAAAGAGAAAGGGATTGATCACTAGATCAATAAATCTAACCTTAGAGATGACTAAAAGCTTCCTTTAACCTCCTTCCTCCAGCATCCTTTTTCAAAATTAAAGTATCCCCCTTTTTAATTATTTAAGAGCATGCCAATTTTACAGTAAGGCCATGTATGACTGCATCACACAAGGATTTATTCTTTATATTGGAAACACACCGGCATCTTTAAAAGGAAAGCATTTAAATCACCATCGCTTGTTTATTTTTTTTTCAAGTTGGATATGTTACTATAAATACACTTATCCTGTTCCAAATGTGCTCTGGATTTCATCAAGACAAGTGCTGAGAATAGGAAAAGCGAGAAGAAATGTGTACTCCCAATTATCAGACACACAAACTACCCTAAATCCATCAGTGATTCTGGTGGAGCTGAAGTTGCTCTGGATTGACGGCACCGGGCCAACAACTGACATTACTACAGAGCTGCAAAAAGTCACTTCAGGCCAAAGCAAACTCCAGAGAACAGAATTAATGGAAAGAGCGTTTAATTTTTTTTTAAACCATCCTGTAAAAATAGCTTGTATATGTAGTTTGCCCAGCGCGTATCAAGAGCCTGACCGATTTTTTTCTCCCCCTTATATCAAAATAATTTATCAAAATCAGATCTTTTTTCTTACCAGAAGCTGTTCACACTGATTCAACATGCTGTGTTTCTACTGTCCTCCTATGGAACTGCCTTCAAAACAACACAAACATGACACAAAGACACAGTTCCTGACACAAAGCTGGCTGGGTGTCCCAAAAGAGGGGGGCTGTGGCCAGGGTCACCTCTGGATTATATCCTTGCTTGGCCACTGACCTGCTGCGTAGTCTTGAGCATGTGTTTTTCTGCCCATCTCCATAGCTTTCCTTGTTCCACATCTAATCCTCATCCTGAGGACCTTGGGATCTGTGTCTTGCAAGAGCTTGGGCTTAGAAAATAGAAGTTCTTACCCTGTTTCTGAGGCTAATTTTTTAGAGGGCTTCAACACTGAACTTCAAGACAATCCAAGTTGTCTTTGGATCATACTTCAGACACAAGGTGTTATAAAACATTATTGGAGTGAGCAGCACTGGTGTTCCTGCTCTGGCAGGGGGGCTGGACTGGATGATCTTTCGAGGTCCCTTCCAATCCCTGATGTTCTGTGATTCTGTGTGACTGTCAATGACAGCAGCAGGAGGAAAACTCCAGGATGACAATTCTTGGCATATTGTAAAACCAGTTAATTTATAGAATCATAGAATGGTTTGGGTTGGAAGGGACCTTAAAGATCATCCAGTTCCAACCTCCAATTTCTACAAGGCTTATAAAAAAAAAAAATAAATTAAAAAAGGTACATGGATTTAAGCAAAACAGACCTTTTGAGTTCTCATGTTTCATAAAAAACCCATATACTTCATGAAAATGGATCTTTCTCTCACAGACTGCACATTTCCACACAACTCATTAGGTACAAATGTCACACAGGTATGAATGAGCTGGACAAATAAACCAGGAAAAAATAGGGTGAACTTCCACAAAAACCCATTCATCAATATTTTCTACATGTGATTTCTCTAAATAAATTCAGTTAACTGGCCCACAGTCCAAAGACACTATTTTTATGTGCCGCATCTTCTTCCCCCAGCTGCTATATTATATAGGTCTCCTAAAATTGGAGTGCTCGAGACATTTTTGGGGTAAGTGATGCATCAACAAATGTCAAAACAATGTAGGCTGCATACAGAACAGCACTGAAAACACGGGGCGTTGGGGAACTATACCCCAAAAAAAGGTTCTCTCACACACAGCCTTTCATTTTGAAGGGACAAAACCTTTGCTGATTTTGAAAGAGACAGTGGCCCTTCGCTAACGTCCAAAGCAAGTATGACTTTTGGTTGAAATCTATTTTTTGTGGTCTTGGGATAAAAATAACAATAATCTCTGTGTCAAACTATGAGCTTTTTGCCCTATTTCAGAGTTTATGAAAGTGAAATTTAATCAAGCATTAAATTGTCACTCTATGAAGTCAGATTTTGAACCAGATACGATTGCTTTCTGCTGCAGCCACGCGAGTCACAGGCCACCGTTCCACCACGACAAGCACAGCCTAAGAGAGCAGAGCAAAGATGATCCCTGGGGCTCACTCACTTTGTATTTGGAAAATGGCAGTGACAGATAGAGGGAAAAATAGATTTCCTAGTATGAAGCTGTCCTTGATAAAATACAGTTTATGCAAAAGGTGATGCCAGTTGAATGGAAGCAGCACAAGGAAAAAGATGACAGAAAAAAATTTAAAAAAAGGGTGATTTTTCTGGCATCAGTCATAGAATTATCATTTGCATATGGAGGAGGGAGAATCTCAGCTGGTCTAAGCTGTTATAAGCGTATCAATAAAGCCACACTGATTTATAGCAGCTGAGAGTTTGTCCTGTAGCGTATTCATCCATGTGCGAGGCGATGGATTGATGTGTTAGCATTTTCTCCCTGGAGACTTTGGTTCAAAACCTATTTAAAAGACAGTGAAAACAAACGGGCTGGTCTCTAAGCAGATGTCCCTGGAAATCTGTTTACATCATCACAGTGAAAGCATTTAGTGGAAAGGGTATTTTCTGCGGGCAGGGTAGCAGCAGGTCCCTGATGGAGTTGCATGGCAAAGCTTTCGTTATAATTCCTGAGTACCCAGCCTGCAGGATGGATTTGATATCCCCAAATCCATAGGTTTTCATATAAGGTGAAATGAAAATATTCAAATAGAAATATTGCTTTGTTTTAGTCTGGAAGTGAGACTCTACAGCACTGTGCTCTACTGCTCCCAGCCTGCACACAAACAGAACCTCACACACACAGGTAATTAATTGCTGGGTTTTTTTATAAGATCTTTTGCACGCATGGAATTAAACACCGTTGTAATTCTGCAGGCTTGGGGTCTCAGTTCCAAAAGCATTTCAAGGAGATACAAAAGCTCCCTGGGATCAAAGGAGAGGAAACAGCGTGGTGGTTGCAGTCCCAGTGACATCATCTCACATACTTTTGGTAGAGTAGTTCTGGGCCCAGTTTTGTGAGAGGAAATAAAGCACATAACAGAGCGAGGACAACAGCACTGCCAGTCACTCCTGCACCCCAAGGCCAGCCTGGAAAGCAAGAGAGTTTCTGAACCCAGATCCACTGACTCTCCCTGGGATTTCACCACTAATTCAGCAGCAGATCTGCCTATCCATGTAATGTCAGCAATGCTTTTAGGAGCATTATCCATGCGTGGTTTTCCCGTACATGGAATTTGGCAGGAGGCCATTCAACCAAATGCTTCACATTGCAAGAAGAATCTGCAGACTTTTTTTAAAAAAAACCCTATACTTATTAAAAAAATAACCCTCCTACTAACAAAGTAAAAAAGTTATTTAATTATCATCTCAGGATCAACCATGGAAGATCAGGCAGTTTAATATACAGATTTTTAAGGAAATATCTTTCTTCTCACCCTCCCATCCCTTGTTTTATCATTGCAGGAGCAGCAGCTCCTATGGTGAAAACTGGGTATTTTATTTCATATCATGAAATAGTAACATAGAAATAGAGTTACCAAGTTCAAGCCCCATCTATCGTAAGTAACTACATCATGATCCCTTCTCGACACTGATCAAATCCCACTTTAGGAGTATTTTGCTCTTTACTGCTGTTCCAGAACCCTGCTGCTTTGATGATTATGAGCCTTCCTCTTTTCCAACCAAAATTTCTTCCTGACCAGTTTATACATGTTTGTTCTTGTCCTGAGTATCATCCTTAACTTGAATTGTTTTTCCCCTCCCTGGTGTTTAGTCCCCTGATTTATTTATAGAAAGATCATACCCTCTTTCAAACTTCATTTTGCGAGGACTAGTAATGTTAGAAATAGACTAACATTACCGTATTTAGAATTTACTGTATTAGAGAGGGATGGACATACATATACACACACACACACACAGAGGCTAGAGCACTTGTTTTAAAAGAAATGCAGAAAATACAGATGAATCAATCATTAGTTAACAGTGCATTATTTCAAACATGTCAGCAACATATGTAAATTACAATATAAAAGACAGATCAAGTTCAAAACTGATTTTTTAGGGTTTTTTTTAGATCTAAAGACTATCCATCTATAGAAATACCAGAAAGCCTACCTGAAATTCCATAAAACTCCAGTTTGGGAAGAGTACCAAAAGCCCACAATGAATACAATTTCTAAAAAAAAAAAAAAGAGAGCTGGGAAGACTCAAAGTACATTTAGATAAAAAAGCCTCAGACAGAGGCTGGTTTGGGTGGAAAATAATCTGCAGAAAAAGAACCAAAAAATAAAATTACTATTAAAAAAAACCCCCAACAAACAAACCTCTAGAAGGAAGAAAGACTGAACATACTATTTGTCTGTTTAGAGACCACTTCATTCTTTCATAAAAATATTTTCTAGCTTTGCTGCTCTGGCACATCAATCCTGAGTACTCTAACTTTTGACTTGTAATGATATTCCTTCAGGTACAGCTTCACCGACGGAGGAACGGGAAGCGCGTCGATACCGTCGTAGGTTGTACTGTTGCAAATAACCGTTCGACATATATGTTGAAGAGAAAAAGGAAAAGTCCTGTTTAGTGGAGTGGATAAAAGTGGCTCAAAGAACATACAGGAACTTGGATCTTTGTAGTGCTCTAGGAGTCCTGTGATGTCAGGAGAATGGAAGACACAAGGATCGTGAGCATCGAAGCTGAAGTTGTGGTTCCACTGCTCTATCCGTGCGTGGAGGGAACGACTGTAGCGCCTGAAGCTGACAGAAAACAAATAGTCTTCTTGGGCAGAATCTCGTAACAAAAATGTTCCTTCTGGCTTTCCTTCTAGCAATGCCTCAGCTGCATATTTATCCATGACTCCCCAGTAGCAGGGATTGTTATTGATCTGGAGGAGGTCTGGGACTAGACAGTGGACATAATCAATCTGCGTATGGTACTTTGGAGGTGTTTCCATCCGTAGCAGCTCATCATCTGTTTCCCACTTGGGTTTGTTTCTTTTTCTAGAACTTGTGCAGAGTGTTATAACTTCGTCATCAGAGTCCATATCACTCTCATCTTTACTGCTTCGTGCCACCTTACCTGTAACCAACTCAGACCTCAAATCACTCCTAGAAGAACCGCTGTCGGTAAAGTCGCAGGACTGGGAGGGAGAGTCCATTCCCCCGTTGGCAATCTCATCGTCTCGCAGCTGATCCTCCCTCTCCTCAGGCTGGGATAAATCAGTAATTATCCAGTCTTCCCCTTTTGGACTTACAGGGGCTGTATGTCTTTTGATCAAGTGCCACCGAAAAGCTAGCTCCGAACGTGGGGGGAAAGGACACTTATCCAGCATTAACTCACTGATATGAATTTTCCTTTTGGATGGCAGTCCTGAGGGGTGCCGGCTGCCGCAGTTCTTTATGGGAAAGCACTGACCCACAGCATCCTGCAGCTTCTGTTTGAGAGACCGGCCTAAGAACCGGTGACCGCACGACCGGTCTAGATCCAGCTCGATAGATGAGCAGCTGTACTTCCTCTCTTGGCTCCTTAAATGAGTCCCCGATCTTCCCCCAGTACTTGCTGTTTCAGCCTCAGAACAATGCTCACTCTTTTTAGACCAGGAGAGCTTCTTTCCACTCCAGACGTAACCATCCTTTCTGTCCGCGCTTCTGCTCCGGCTGCTTTTGGGTCTGACATCTGCGTTTTTAATATTACCGTCCTTATTTTCTGCCATTTTGACAGTTTTGCTTCACAAGTTTGCCAGAAAGTGGACTGTTTCTTGTTGGGTTTTTCTACATAAGGAAGCTTCCTCGAGGTACTCTCTGGAAATACCTAAGGAGAATGAAAACACAGCTAAGTTAACAGTTATGCATGCGTGCAATACAAGACCAATGCAGGTGTATACGGGGTAACAGCGACAATTAATTGCTAATCATGTAAAAATAATATGATCAAGCTGAATTCACTACAAATTCACTACTCCACAAATACTGGCCTGATCGCAGACAAGGCTCTCTTAACCCTTCCTTGGAAAAAGCATCCTCCAGAAGAAACCATCTCAGGTGTTTTTAGAGTATCCATTCTGCCTACACAGCAAAGTGGAGAGTTTTAGCTGTTGGCAACCCTGTTTTGATGGGGTGGATTTTAAATGGGAGCACTTCCCGTGGCAGGTGATGCTGCTTTAGCTGTTCAGTGAGCAAATTCTGCACCTCTTCCAAATAACCTTTCAAGAAGGAGCAAGCAAACCCAGAAACAACTAGGTCAGAGTACAAAGAGCTACTGTACCTATTTGATATGCCTATTTGCGACTAATCCACATGGTGGGATGCCAGAGATCCTATTCTTAACTGACACTTTTGGGTCACTTTCTGGATTTAAAAAAAATAAATTTAAATTATATCAGTCACAGATTCCGTCAATTTCTGAAAGCTGTTTTCCTCTGCCTTTTCAAATGGAGCTAGAAAATACTGAGCCCCTAAGGGATTGAAATATCTGGGGCTTTACATACTGAAAAGGATTAAAACAAATCCAGTTCCTTACTAAAAGCAATTTTAAAAGGCTGTGAAAGATGGAACTGCTTATTACTCATTAGAGAAGAAAGTTTACATTATTAAAATCAGTGTTGCTCTGAGACCTATGGTTGCTGATTTCATTCTCCTTTGTTTCCAAAAGTGTATTGAATTCTCAAAAAGATAAGAGGTTTCCTTTTGAATGTTCTGCTTTGAAAAAGAAAAAAAAAAAAAAGAAAAAAATCTTCTTTTGATTACTCAGTTGAAAGTAGAGCAGAATTTTTTTCAAGGTACACAGATAGCAATACATGACGGATGCTATACTCTCCTGAGGCAAAGCAGCATGAAGAAATATTTTTCCCATCACATACCATGATGCTTTTGTACCAAAATGAAGTACAGCTCCTCTGTTCCACTGGGGTTTTTTTGGCTGTGGGTTTTTTGTTGTGTTGTTTTGTTTGGGTTTTTTTTTAAAACCCTAATTGACATGGTAAATACTGAGCAGGAAAAGAAAAAGGGCATCCACTTCCTCTCTCCATTCAATCCATTCTCATCATCAGGATTAGCCAGCATGACACAACCTCTCTGCGTTCCCCCGGGGCTGTGCAGCCTGAGTTCTACCCTCTGCTTTCAGGAGAAGAATAAGACTGCCGTGCCAAAAGGCTTACACGCAACCCGTGGGCCAAATGCATCCCAGATGGAACTTTCACCCAGGAATTTTTGATATAGCATTCCTTATTTACAACTCACAAACCTGTGAGCTGGAGGGGAAAGGAAAAGGGAGGAGATGCAGGAATGTAGAATGCAAGGGAGATAGGTTAAATATTGCAAATACGTTAAAAAATCCCTGGCATTAGGGGAACCTGGGTGAATTATACCTCACTGGAACCAAGTGGAATCACAGCACAGGGTCTATATTCCAGCAATTACAAATCAAAGATTAAAATAAAGATTTCTTTTTCTTCTCTTCAGCATTTTGCAAACCACTTTTCAGTGAAAACACTGGAAGATGCAATGCAGACAGGAGAGAGGAAACATCTGTCTATGAGACCTGAAACATCTTTATTGAGACCAAGATTCATTGATTGATTTTCTAACATTGATCTTTTTCATCCAGAAAAAACTAGAGTGGAACACTGAATTTTCTCCAGAATTAAAAAAAAGAGGGGAAAAAAAGCAATCTCATTTACCCTGGTGATAATCTGAAGCAACTGAGGAGAAAAAGTTATTCTACATTCATCCTGTGGTAAAATACATTAACTCTCTCTATATGGGATTTTTAATTGGACAGAGAGATTATCGTTGAGGTTGCAAAGTCAAGTACTTAAAAAATTAGGATACGACAGTTTATAATTGCTTTTGAAACTTTCAATTATCTCATTCTGCATATCCAGCCCATAAAAGGAATAAGAATATGCAGAATATGGACTTTTAATTAAAAACTGCAAAATGTACAAAACCCAGAAGTGCTGAAAAGGTCCATTATCTCCTCACTTCAGCTTTGCAACTGAAATAAGTTCAGTGGTTTATGTCATTTCTGGGTTGCTGTTGTATTTAACTGTAAAGCCACCTTTTACTTTGTACCTTTCTTCTCTTGTGAATCATTAGTGGTACCTGAAGCCTGAAACTTGAACTAGAGAAACAGCACATGATGCTGTGAGACATGCACCATTAGCCAGCAGCACAGAAACAGGCTGTTTCCCTGGGGTATGAAGGCTGCTGGAACCAAGGTGCCAATTCGGCCACGTCAGAGCAGTAATTGCTAATCAGACATAACCCCAGAGCTGGGAAAAGAGCAGGGAGCAAATGAAGAAAAAGGGATGTCATCCTACTCAAGCCAGGTTTGGATTTGACCTTGTGAAGGAAGAGTAAAGGATGGTTCAGTGGTTGGCTTGAGACTTGGGAGACGAAATCTGTTTCCAAATCTGCTACAAACATCCGCACGCTTGCAGGTAAGCTGCCTTCTGAAACACAGAATCACAGCATGGCCTGGATTGGAAAAGCCCTTTAAGCTCATCGAGTCCAACCATGAACCCAACACTGACCAGTCCCCTATGACTAACCCATGTCCCTCAGCGCTATGTCTACACGACTCTTCAATCCCTCCAGGGATGGGGACTCCACCACTGCCCTGGGCAACCCCTTCCAATGCCTCAGAACCCTTGCAGCAAAGAAATTCTTCCTCACATCCCATCTCAACTGCCCTGGCCACAACTGGAGCCCATTTCCTCTTGTCCTGTCCCTTGGGCCTTGGTTGAACAGACCCACCCCCACCTCTCTCCACCCTCCTCCAAGGGACTTCCCTCAGCCTCCTTTTCTCCAGGCTAACCAGCCACTCTGTATTTAGGTTCCCAAATCCCACCGCTGGCATTACAACAAGGGGTCATGCCTTCCTACCTTTCAAAATCCATGATTCACAGTCCTACCAATAAAATGGGGACCAAAAATAATTTGGGTGTCAGAAAGAAAAAGGCATAAAGCGTGGTGAGACATTCAGTGCTGTATTACCACCTCAGGATATCCACCTAACCCAGCTACTCCTTTCACTGCAAACATCCACGTATGCCGGGTACCGGACATCCATTAACGGCTGGGGGCCCACCGCAAAAGGAGGGGGGGGGGGGCAGGCAAAA